TTAACATCTCCTATTATAATTAAAGGTTATTATATTAGATATAAATTAATTAAACAATTAGTTTTACATTATATTTTAGATAATTTAAATAATTTAAATAATGAATTAAATAATAATAATACATTTAATGAATTACAAATTATTAATTTAGGTTGCGGTTATGATACTTTATATTTTTATTTAAATAATAATGAATTTTTAAATAATTTAAATGTTAATATAAATATTAAATTAATTGATTTAGATTTTAATAATGTTATTCAAAATAAAAAGAATTTTATTAATTTAATTAATAATAATAAAAATATAACTAATAATAAAAATATAAATAATAATTTAAATAATTTAAATAATAATAAAATAAATATAAATTATATATTAGAATCATGTAATTTAAATGATATTGAATTATTTAAAAATATAATAATAAATAATTGTAATTTAAATATAAAAACATTATTTATAAGTGAAGTATCATTATGTTATATGAATACTAAAGATAGTAATGAATTAATAGATACTATATATAATTTATTTAAAGAAAATACAAGATTTTTAATATATGAACCAATTATAGATGAAAATAATAATTATGGTAAACAAATGATAAATAATTTAAATAAAAGAAATTGTCCATTTAATTCTATTAGTAAAGATTTAAAAGAACAATTACAAAGATTTTCAAAATATTATTTACAAAATAATCATTTAATTGCATGTGATAATTTATTTAATATTTATAATTTAATTATTAAAAATGATAAAATTTTAAATTTAATTCATAAAAAACATCCAATGTTTGATGGAATTGAAGAATGGATTATGATTTCACAATCTTATTGTTTTTTATATATTTATAATAATCAATTAAATAATCAATTAAATAATCAGAATGAACAATTACAAAATGAACAATTAAATATTGAACAATTACATTTAAATAATAATGAACAAGTAGAATTTAATAAATTAAAACAAAAAGAAGAAGAATTAAAACAATCATCAACATCACTTGTACAACCACAAACAACAAGATTACATTATTCAATCAATCATTTAAATCATTCAATCAATCATTCAACTAGTCATTCACTCAATCATTTACATCATCATTCAACTCAATCACACCATTCAAATCATTCAAATCAATCACCACATCAATTAAAAGAACAATTAAATTTTATTAATTTAATAAACAATTTGAATTATTAAATTTTAAATCATTATTATTTAAAGTTAAAACTTGTGAATTCTTATTAATAAATTGAATAAATTCTTGAACATTTTTAAAATTTAAATCACCATTTAAAGTATCATCTTTTAATGGTCCACTTTGATTACCAATTATTTTATTACCTTCTATTTTAATTGGAATACCAACTCCATCAATTACATGAATACCATAATAATAATTATTATTAATTTCATTATTTAATATTTCCATTTCTCCTAAATTAGAAATACCTCCTATAGTAATACCATGTTCTTCATTTTTAATTATTTGATTATCTTTAATTATTGATTTATTATCTGTATTTGTTAAATATAATCCACTTTGTTTATTATTAGATATTATATTTCTATTTATATTAATATAACTTTTATGGTAAGTTAAAATACCATAAGTTTGGTTAAATTTTAAAATAGAATTTGTAATATTTAAATTAGATTCATCTTGTGTTACAATACCATTACCTAAATTATTATTTAATGTACTTTTATCAATAATTAATTTACTATTTTTAATTAATCTAATTCCATTTTTATCATTTGAATTAAAAATAGAATTTTTAATATTTGCTTTAGATTCATCAGTAATTTCAATTCCATTTAATTGTGAATATTTAAAATCACATTCATCAATTTCAATATTACATTTACCTTTAAATTGTAATTGAATTCCATAAAATTGACATTTAATTAATTTTATATTTATATTATTAAATAAAATTGTATTTGTTCCTTCTTTAGTTTTAAATGTTAAATTTTTAAATTCTATATTTGTATAATCATTGGTATTATTAGTAATTTCAATTATATTTTCATTACTTAATAAAATATCACTTTTAATAATATTACTATAATCAGTAGTAGTAGATGTTGAAGTATTATTATGGGCAGTTGATGTAGATGTTGTATTGTTATTATTACTATTTGCTGTATTATTATTATTGTTATTAGTATTATTAGTTGAATTACGTTCTTTTAATATTTGTAATTGTTTAATATTAGAACATTCAATAATAGTTAAATTTTGATTATAACATTCATCTGATAATGTTATTGTACATGAAAGTGGATTTTTAGCATCACTTATAATTTCCTTAATAGTTTCATCAAGGCTTTTAGATGATTCTGTAATTTCATAACGTTGAGACATTTTTTTTTCATAGAGAATTTCATTAATATACTCACTGGGTGTGTGCATTAGTTATACGGTCATGTTGTTATAGTGAGTGTGGAGCCTTCTTCAGTTCTTATTATTCCGTACTCAATAAAGGAATTAAGAGACCAATTCATTTACAATAATGTGAAAATTCCTGCTACAATACATCTCTTCATTACATACCTTATTAATACTCTTCCAAATATTCAACAGTTTATTGACTTGCAAAAAACTAATGAACATGGAACCAATTTCTCTACATGTAATAATATGTTCAAATAGTTGAGGTGCTTGTGTTCATTCTAAGTATTTGAACAAACTTCACAAGTTCATATCCTGTCTCGATGACATTTAACAAGATCTTTGCGACATGTTCCATCATCAATTAAAACAACAATTAAAAAAATGTCATCATCAAATAGAAAACAAGCAGAATATAAAATAGCAGTAGTAGGTGGGGGTGGTGTTGGCAAGAGTTCCTTAACAATTCAATTCGTACAACATTATTATCAAGCTCAATATGATCCAACAATAGAAGATTCATATCAGAAACAAATTAAAGTTGATGATAAAGTTGTACAATTAGAAATTACTGATACTGCTGGTCAAGATGAATTTATTGGTATGTTTAATAACATTTATTAATATTAATAATATTATAATAATAATTTATTACAATTTAATTATTTAAATAATAATAACAATATAATATAATATAATAATATAATAATAACATAACATAATAATAATAGCATTAAGAGATACATATATGAGAAGAAATGATGGATTTGTACTTGTTTTTGATGTTACAATGAAACAATCACTTGAAGAATTAATTAATTTTGTAGAGGGAATTAAAAGAGTGAAAGAAGATAACATGTTATATACTTCAGTTCCATTTGTTATTGTTGCTAATAAATGTGATTTAGCAGATCAAAGAATAATAACAAAGAAAGAAGCATTACAATATATTGTAGAAGAATTACAATTACCATCTGATACTCCCTATTTTGAAACAAGTG